AACTAATTAATTTGACGCCAAAGTTTATATCGAGTCAAGTCAACTAGTCACTAATGCGGGTCTGCAACTCGGATCTCCTGCTCTAAATCTGCCTTACATGTGAGTCCAACTAATAAGGACCGTTTTGTTTCTTTATCTGTTAAGCCGAGTACTGTTGTCTTCTGCGGAGGCTGAGCATGTCGGGAAGGGTGCCGAGGTTGGTGCGGCATGAGCCCGTTTTCAGCCAGCTGTTGTCGCTTGCCCCGCTTCAACGATTGGTGAAGAACTGGCCCTGGCCGCGCCGAACTCAGCCCCCTGATACGATCCAGTACCCACAGCGAATGAGACTGTAGGATGTGGCACATCGTAAGACTCGGATCAACCCTCTACTCATTGCTCGGTCACGTTTCGGGAGGGGGGGGGGAAGGGCGACACAGTAAAAAATGAATTCCGACAATTATTTCAACGAATTAACAAGAAATTATTGCAGTTCAGATGACAAATTACTTTTGCTCTTCACCCCCTAAAAAACGAGCGAAATCGGAGTATCCTGCTGGTGAGGACTACCCAGACTCTGATGATTCCTTCAACGATCCGGTCCTTGCTGAGCCTAGCCAAATAACTCGTGGGTTCTCTTTGCTTGTCACTTTCCTCTTTTCTTTTGTTCGTTTTATTGCAACTTCTGTAAATAATATTTTCATTTTTTTCTCATGGAAATTCACCTACAGAGACAATTCTACAACGTAGAGACGCGAAGCACCAGAGTTTGGGAACACAGCATCATCCAACACAGAATGGAGTCACAAGGAGCGTACCTGTGCACACCTCTCCTCTTCGGGCTCCTCGTGATGAAGGCAGAAGGAAACCAATGCAAAGAACAGTGGCATCGGTCACACCACGGCGTTTCAACACGCAGGTTTGGAACCTTTCTCGAAGGGACGTTGCTCAGTAATTGTATGGGCAGAGTTACATGAACAGTTGCGGCTCTCCCACTTGTACAGTCTTATTCTCTGCAGATGAAGGGTTGTGTCAGGTGGGTTGGGCTTGTCGCCGCTCGAAACCCATCCCGCCTGATACGCTTCTTCATCCGCAGCGAACATCCGCAACGACTATATACGGGCCGCGCTCAGAGGAATTTTTTATTACTGAAGGGCGTTACAG